GTAATTAAGATACCTAATTATGTAAAAATATTACATACATAAATTTTTTTTTTTAAATATTTATATATACACACACACACGTATATATTTATGTAGATGTATATATTAATATCACAATACAGTTCGAACGAAATAACATCTATATATTTTTTAATTATTTTATTTTAACGTATTTACATATTTAATTTTTTTATATTATATATAACAATATATATATTTAATCAGTAACAGTCTACGTGTAATTTGATATTAATATATATATAATTTTTTTTGTAAATTTTTTTTTTTTCCCCCACACACAGACGCACTTTACTTTTTAATTCATTTAATTTTATTTCCAGCCAGCAGGGGGACCACCTGTCATTACAGGCAGCCCCCCTGCTGGCAATGCAGGAGGCAGCTACCCCCGGCCATATGATTGTGGGGTCCTCGCAAGGACCTCACTCTCACATGGCTGGGGTGCACCGGAGGAAGAGGATCTACCGCGGGGGGGGGCTCCCTGGGAGTCCCCCCCACCGCGATCGCCGGCGTGGGACCGCCGGCGACTGGGTAAGCAAGAAAAGACCGGAGGGCGTACAATTACGCCCAGTGGCGTTTAGAGCCGCTTAAAATAAGGCGTGATTGTATGCCCTCCGGTCTTAAGGTGTTAAACATGCTGTACAACCAAGACCAAGTTATTCATTTAACTTACTTTATTTTTAACAAATTTATCAGAGTAAATTACATCATTTGTTGACAACACAACACATATTGCAGCACTTTATCTTAATACAGAGAGTTCAAATGTTTACCTTTAAGTAACTTGGCCAGTTATTTAGGTCATACTTGAAGTTACCAAGTGAATCAGAAGGAAAGAGACTTTGGTCAATACAACTGGCCAACTCAAATACGATTGCCTGTACAGAAAATAGTATCCGTGTAAGCAAATCAAAACATGACATAAAAAACACACACCGATAAACTAAATGTAGCTACAACTACAGGGTATTTAAGCTTGTACAGTTTAGCTCTATGTTGATCTGTAGTGAAAGAGCTTCCTATGGAGCAAGGTGTTGCCTCTAACATTTCAGAAGTATACATTTCCATCAATATCTACAAGTTAGCAGAAGTTCCTGAAGAGGAAATATTTATTATTTTCACATAGGTCAACTGTAAACAGACAATTTAGGTCAACTTAAGTTGGAAAAGGGTTTTGCAACCTTGGCCCATAGATACTACCATAAACTGTACCCCTGCCCCCCACCCCCATATTAAGTATCTGGCTATAGCAATTACTTTCAATAGCTGGGCTGATGAGCGCTTCTTCTGGATTCCCACAGCTCTCAGAAACAATTTTAAGAGATTCATAACAGTAAGTGAAGTCACAGCAGATCTAGAATAATAAAAGGGAGCAAAAGCTAAATAAATTAGTCAGTTAACAAAAAAGACTTTTAGTCTTATCTGTGCATAAAGCGTAAGAACAAGCTTGATCAGTTTCAAGGTACCCCAGCAACACCCAGCTCAAAGATGAACTTAAGAATAGAGACCTCTTCATAGGTCTCTATTCCTTTATTGGTCACATTAGTAAAAGTAAACAGACATTTAATGGCAAATTGTAAGTGTATTTTGATAAGCTTACTTGGGGAAAGATAAATCCAGTTAGCAAAACAGAGGACTTTGCATATTGTTACAGGTTACGTAGAGCATGAAATTGTAAGTAAATTTACTGACCAGACTAGACCTCTGCAAATAAAGCACACCAGGTTATGAGAGATTCTCCCCACCCCCTAGAATTGGTGAATTCTACTCACCAAAAACAAATTCAATAAGCTGTAGTTCTGGTGACTATAGTGTCCCTTTAAATATGTTAATCTCACATAAGGCACCAATTCAGGGAATTATCTACTAAAAAGGTAAAAGGATAAAAAAAAATAAAAAGATATATATAAAAAGAATGACCTTTTCTTATTTCAGTTGTTTAGTAGATAAATCCCTTATTTGTTATCCTTATGTGGGACTGCAATATTTAAGGAGCTATCTACTAAACACATACACACAAACAATCAGACACCCTCCCCCCCCACACAATAATTAAGAGGTCCACCCAGCCTCCCTACCTTGCTCTAGAAGGGCTGAAGTGGATCCTCAGTCCCTGTTGGTCAGTGGTTGCTGCTGGGATCACTGTGCTCTTCCTGCACAGGTCCCTCGCACGCCCTGTAATGACGCAGAGGCCGCAATGACATCATATCCCGGCTGCCTGCTCACTGCAGGGCGGAGACCATCAGATGCACACAGTCCCACACACAGTTACAGGCAGACACCAAATAAGGGAGCTATCTACTAAACACACACACAATCACAGATATACACAAACATTCACAGGCAGTCACAATCACATTTACACACACGCCATCACTTACTGTCAGCTTGCGCTGGAGGAGGAGTGGATTCAGTGAGTCCCTACTGTGTTGCAGTTGGGGAAGCAGGGACGCCTTCTTGCTTCCCCTCTGTGTGAGCGGTAAGAAGCTGCATTTAGCTCTGCCCCACCTCTCCGTGCAGGTCTCGTGCTCTTGCTCCTAGCCGCTGCTTGTGTGAGCGGTGTCGGCTGCCCGGTGCCCCTGCTGCTTTGGCAAACTGTGCAGCTGACAGCTCACAGAACCACAAGTTTGGCCAGTCCTGGTGGCACCCCCCTACCTGATGGCATCTGGGGCAGACCGCCCCCTCCTTAGTATGCCACTGTGCGCAGTGCATAATAGTCAAGACATGTTTTCCCACACATAGGCAAACACAAGTAGTTACATTTTAAAGGTAAGCTAAGGAGTAAATGACTGCACTTTTTATGTACAAGTAGGTCAAGGTCTCAAACTGAAGAATCGATTAAAAAATAAATAAAATAAATTAAAAAAAAAAAAAAAGTGTGGGAAAAGAAAACCAACAAGAGATACCAGTACGTGTGTTGGGTAAAAAGGGGTGGATCTTTGTTAGCTGCAAAAGCAGATTCTGCAGCAAAGGACAAGTTTCTAGGGATTTAAGAACCAATAGTCACCCAGAGCACTTCATCTCAATGACATGATCTTGGTTCAGTGGTCCTGCAGTTTTAACCCTTTAAGTTAAAACATTTACCACTTACAGCTCATTCTAACTTACCTGTGCTGTGATTGCATTGTGCCCCACGTGAAACTGCAGAAGCAAGCAAATTATGTTGAGCCGCAGTTGGTCAGAGAGACTAGTTGCGTTTCACCAAACATGGCTGCTCAGCCACCTTAACCCCTTAAGGACACATGACGGAAATAAGGAAGTTGTGTCCTTAAGGGGTTAAAATAATAAAACACACAACAACCCTCCCAAAACAAACACTCACACAAGAAAGATTGACAGGTCTCCTTTAATAACCCAACCCACCACCCTGCCAGAATGCAACCAATCACACCAGTTTTACATTTATTGTCCTTTTAGAACATATGGCCATTATATAGGACATCTTCTTATACTAGTAGACAAGCTAAAAATAGATAGATAAAACCCAGAATGAACCAATGCATGCGAATAAGCACAGCTAATTTGACCAAGAGGACACCCACCCTATATTAACCAGGGTTATTCACCAAGGTAGGAAGCATCAAATGCAAAGTGAATTTCAAACTTAAGGTCAAAATAGCCAACATTATAAAGAGAGAAAATAAAGAAGTCTCCAAGTAAGTTACATTTCCAGTTCAGCAATTTTTGTCTAGAGTTTGAAATTCACCAGATTGAATCAGATTAAAGTTTTGGTAAAATTAACAAATTTGGAAAACCTTTTCACTGCAGCAATAATCAGAAAATGGGCCTAAATTTTATAATACAGATTTTAAATTTCTACAGAGTCTCAGAAAGAAGCCTCTCTGCATTCACGACTAGTTCTACTTTAGTGAATTAACCTGTAACAGCAACTGCAAAACCTACCTATCCAGATTCACCACACCGGCTGCAACTTACAGGGAATGAACCAGTTTGGACTAAAATTGAACATATACAGCGAGGGGAGTGGGCTGATATCCACAATTAATTAGGGCCATCACAAACACATGTTCTGTAGATGTTAAAGGAACACTGTAGTCACTATAGAAAATTCATGTAATTGAAGTTGTTATAGTGCAGTCAATTAGTAACTGCTTTTCTTGTTTGAGGGCTTTAAAACGTGGCTTGTAGCCATTGACGAAAAAACACTACAATTCAGTGAGCCTTCATTTTAATTTCATGTCTGACATACCCATGCATAGCATGAACTACCTCTTGAACTTCATCCCCCTTTTATGCACATGGACTTTACACCTATTGCCCTGTGGTTGCACAATACTCTTCCCCTGCCCTTTCCTGCTCATGCTCGCTTCCAATCCTGCCCCTTTCCATACACCTCTTCCTGGTACTCAGTGGCCTGTGGCTATGTATGTGTGTGTTGTGTTGTTATGGGTAACATGACAGCCTGATAGGAAATGGTCGTGCTAGCTCTGGTTCACAGATGCTGAAGAAGTGAGGAGTCCGGTGAGTGGAGGGACCATGGCTGGGGTTATCCATGGCTAGTCTGTGTACGAGGGAATCATTCACCTCACTAGACAACATTGTATATAAATATATATGTATATTGCAGGACTGTGGAGGGCCTATTAATTGGATCAGAGTCATCAGAGATACTGACTGCTACGAGGAGACTTCAAACACAGATGGAATAAGGTAAGTATATGTTTAAACTAAAAAATAATTTACTAATTACTGTGGTGGCACTAATATATATATTAATAATATGAAACTAGAACCCAACAGGGTTATTCACAAACATAAGAATTGTCAGTAATACAAAGTGAATTTCAAATTTAAGTCCAAAATAGCCAAACTAGAAAAGTTCTGCAAGTGAGCTTTGCTTCCAGATTTGCTGCTTTGGCCTACATTTGAAATTCCCTTTGAATTCCAGACAATTCTCACTTTAGTAAACAATCCTGCATAGTAAACTGGAAACTGAGAGAGGTGCACCTTAAGTGCAGCCAGGAGGGGGTTCAAACAGCCTCCCACTGCTGGCTCTCCACTGTTTCAAATGTAGTGCAGCCAAGTGGTACTGCTGCAGAAGGTAGTCACACTAACTTGACCAGTCTGTCAGTGTGGCTGAGCATGCTCAGCCTGCTTTGAATGGAGGGGGCAGGAAGTTAAATGCATATTTCGCTTAAACACGTATTTCTGCAATAAACAGAGAAGTACTTTGCATTGGGGGAGGGGATGAGAGTGGACATACAGAGAATGAGGGGTGAACAGAATGAAAATGTGGATAGACAGACTGAAAATAGGAAGGATGAACAAACAGTAGACATGTGCAACTCGGACAAATTTCAGACATTCAGATGTAGGGGTAGGATCGGTGTTGGTGTAGGGCAGGGTTGTCAAACATGCGGCCCCCCAGATGTTGCTGAACTACAACTCCCATGATTCACTGGCTATCTGTTTCATTGAAAGAATCATGGGAGTTGTAGTTCAGCAACATCTGGGGGGCCGCATGTTTGACAACCCTGGTGTAGGGGTTGTGTTAGATTTAGGGGTTGGGGTAGTATTAGGGGTAGAAATAGGGTTAGGAGTAGGATAGGGGTAACCCAACCCTACTCCTAAACCAACCCTAACCTTACTCCTAACCCAACCCTAACCCTACTCCTAACCCAACCCTAACCCTACTCCTAGCCCAACCCTAACCATACTCCTAACCCAACCTTACCTTTAACCCTACACTAACCCTACCCTAACCCTACACTTACCCTAAGTGCTGAAGTTACGAAGAACTGAACCAAAGTTCTGAATTTCGGAAGTGCTGATCCGAACCAAGGTGCCGAAGGTCCGAAGTGCTAAAGTCCCGAATTTCGGAATGCCAAACCAAAACAAATATTTTGCCCATGCACATCCCTAACAAACAGAACATGAGTATGAATAGACAGAATTTGATGGTTGGAGGTAGACAGACTGAAAATGGGGTTGACAGAATGTACAGTAAATAAACAGAGAATGGGGGGACAGACTGAAAATAGGAGATAGACGGAAATGGGGGATTACAGGCAGAATGTGAGGGTTGGGGAAGGATAGACTTAAATTGGGGGGAGTGGATAGAAAGAGAATGTGGGACGAACAAATAGAGAATGGGATAGAATAGACTGAAAACAGGGAGTGTGGACAAAAAAGGAATGGAAGGAGGACAGAGTCCAGAAGAGAAGTGGACTAACAGAAATTGGAAAGGTGGACAGACAGAGAGGTTGGTGAACAGACTGTCAGGATTCCTACCATTGTCCTGCCTGTTGGGCACATTGCCCTGGGGTCCCAGACCAACTGCATGCCTTCAGCATCGCCCCAGATGTGAAACGCTGCCGTCTCTTTTCATGACGTGAGCGGGTTAAATGCGATAACACTTTTGACCTTAAACATACAAAAGTTTACTACAGTATACTCGTGATATAAACCATACTCCATTTATCCTTTCCCTGTCGTGGGTTTCATTCTGGTTATCCAAGAGCACATTTATTGATGTTTTCTGATTCCTGGTTTATTGTTTTTGACTTGACTCGACTATTCTGAATTATGTATCTCTTACCTTGGCTGGTTTATTGGTTCTGTGTGTGTACCTCTATTGTCTCTGACCTTGGCTTGTTTCTTGACATCCATATTTCTTATATTCTGCACATTAGGCTCGGCCTCTCTAAGGTGCGGTAATGCATACCTTTTGTCTACTGTTCTTGTCTTGTGTGGCCACATTCTGCGTGTTGAGTTATATCTATCCTGACACAGTCAGAGACTGGGAGGTTTTGGCTGTGGATTGTATGAAAATGGTAATAACAGAGAATGGGGTTGGAAAGAATACAGGTCAGCGTTTGGACAGATAGAGTGTGTGGGTGAACAGACAAAATGGCACAATAGGGTTCGAATGTTACGGTTGAAAGGAACATGCTAGTTGTCCCCCCAATCCAGCCCATGGCGCAGTGGATAGGGTCTATGTTACAATTAAATAGGGACATGCCAGTTGTCCACCTCCTGCACTTTTGGGCAGTGAGTAGGGGCTATGTTATATTAAAAGGTAACTAACATGCCATTTTCACCCCTACCCACATCCATGGGAAGTGGTTGGAGCTCAAATCATATGGCTACAGAGACTTACCAGTGGTCCCCTTCACCCCCACCCATGGTCAGCAGGAGTGGGCTATGTTATAATAAATGTGGAGCGACATGCCAATATTGCAGGACTGATGTTCACCAGAGCATGAAAATGCTGAATGCTTCCTATAGAGATACATTGACTCAGTGCAACTCTATGACGAGAGGCTGATTGGTCACAGATTGGCGATTGCCACACATGTACACTATGACTCTCAAAGCTTCCCTGTGAAGAAGTATTATTTTGGCTAAGAGCTTCAGTATTTATGATCTCAGCAAGCAGAGGCTGGGTGACCATGGCGAGACCGGTACACCAGGGGAAATAAGGTAAATAAAATCCTTTATTTTCTGCTGGGGAAATAACTACCTAGGTAGACTAACACTCTAGTGTTAGGAATGCATGATTTTATTAAAGGACACGCAGGCTCCTATTAGGCTTATCTCTTTCTTTTATTCCTCAGCAGCAAAGAAAAGCTAAGGTGTTCATTTGTAGAAAAAAATATGCATAAGTACCCTCTCAGGGTTAACATTACATCATTATCTCTTAACCAATAGGAACAGTCCTTCTCTGATATCCTCTCATGTAACCTCCTCCTCTTCCTCTTTCTTTGCTGCTGCCTTAGCTAAGTAACACCTTGTTTCTTACACTTCATTGTGATTGATATCTGTGTATTATGTTTTGAATTGTTTTATTATCGTTTGTTGGTCACTGTTTGCACTGAAACGCCTTGGGCGTTTTGTTTCAGCCCTCCCTGTGGGCTCCTTCCGTGGGGAAGCCCTTCCCACACTTCCCCGCTGTTACCTCGGCCCCCCAGCGGGTGTACCGGCACCCGCGAATACCGCCGGGTAGTTTATTACCCTCCCCACTTGGTCGCAAAGCGCAGGGAACCCTCTGGGAACAGCTCGGTTTTCTCTTCAGAAGGTTCCCCCGCTGCAACCCCTCGCAAGTGAGTGCCGCGCGCGCGCAAGCGCGGTCCCGGCCTGACACAACGGCCTCCATCTTAAAGGGGCGGCGACACAATAGTTTGCTGCTCTTTTTCCTCTCAGCTCGCACAGCCCATTAAGAGGGCGTAAGCTGATTGGTCTGTTGGCTTGCCTGTCAGCTTACCAGTGCCCCCAGAGGCCATTCCTGAGCACTCAGTAACCTAACAGTGCAATCTTGTGTTTCTGTCTTGTTGCCTTGTCTCCTGCCTTTATCAGCCTCTAGACTGCTACTGCAGAGGGTTAGCTATACCAGCCTTCTTAGCTACTGTGCCATACACACTTATCTGTCCCATGATGCAGACCCCTAATGAATACTCTGCCCCTGGCCCCAGTGATAAAGGGGATGCCAAAGCCTACCACCGACCCACGGTGTCTGAACCCCTAACCCTGCAAGGGGACGTAGTGACCCCTCTGGAGCACCTGGACTCAGAAGAATTCCACTCGCTCCTAGACGCCACCATGTCAAAGTCAGTCACCCAAGCTATTTATACCGCAATGGGGGTTATGTCTGACAACATATCACACTCCATTTCGAATGCCATTATGGCATCCAACCCCAAGATAACCCACGCTAGGGCCGCAGAAGAGTGTCCTTTACGCAGAGAGGGACGTAAAGCCATAAGCAAAACCCACAATGTGGGAAAGCATGCCTCCAAAATTGAATTGAGGGACAGGGTACGTCCTGTCACACCTGAGGTCGTGGGGCCCCCACGAAAACGAGCCACCTGCCGGGCAAAAGCGGCGCGAACATGGAAGAGGGCAAAAGCCCTAACAGACTCTTCCGACCGGTTCGGATGCTGAGGAGGTTTCGAACGAGTCCGACAAGGTCGACTCAAGCGAATGGGAGGGTTCCTCCCCGGGCCATAGTCCACCACGCAATCCAACCCCCTCCCTTGTATGATACCGCGGATACATCCGCTATCTTGGACCCCCAGGGTGAACCTCTGTTCGACCCTGATACATTACAAAACCTTAGGTCGGCTGAATGGTACCCGACCAATCATGTGGCACGGTACATAGCAGCCAGAATCCGTAAGCCCTTGGATAAAGCCACCAGAAATAAACTGCAGGCGGAATGCCCACGCCCAACGGTGCCCGATATGGCCTGCGCCACGCCAGACATAGACCCCAAAATAGCACAATTCCTGGGTAAATCGGGCTGGAAAGCAAAAAAGGGGCTTGATTATTCCCTACGCCATTGCCAAGATAAAGTGCTGGATACACTAGGCCCTACTGCCAAGATTTTTGAACTGGTCAAGGCGGCCTTAAATGATGGGACACCTCTTGATTTATTAGCCATTAGAGGCTGGGCCCAGAGATCTATATGCCTTATCGGCAACGCAAATGCTGCACTAGCTACCGAAAGGCGCAAAACTGTATTGATGAAAATCAAGCCCAAGCTCGTAAACATGGCCCTCACCGAACCGGGACCGCAAGCCAAGGGGTTTCTGTTCGGACACAATTTTGTTAAGGAACTAGGCACTTACGTAAGCACATTTACGGCCCTAGACAAGGCACAGACGAACATAAAGTGAGCGTTCTCCCCCAGAGTTTTTGGTGGGGCCGGCCGTTCTTCCGGCGGTTCTTACCGGGGATACAGAGGTCCCGCCATGCCTAGATTTCAGCCTCCAGAAAATAGAGCGCCCTCACGCTTCTTTCCGGTCAGGGCCAGACCATGGCAACCTCGAGGACCCAGAGGCAACTCATACAGCCGACGACCTTATGGTGAGTGTGCTACCTTTCCACTCCCCGGGTATACCGACGGTGGGGGGCAGACTGTTACACTTTATAGAGACCTGGCAACAACTGACAGTAGACATATGGGTCCTCAATACTGTCGTGGGGTACCACATAGAGTTTGTACAACCCCCTGTCCAAACAATCATGCCACACCGAATAGCATTTTCCGCACAAGACAAGGGCTTAGTGAGCAGAGAGATTCTCACCCTACAAGAAAAAGGCGCCATATATCAGGTCCCTTCACCCTCCCCTCATGAGCAACCTATTCCTGGTACCCAAGAATGGCGGCGGAGTATGCCCAGTCATCAACTTGCGGCCATTAAACGCATTTTTACGGTACCACCATTTCAAAATGGAGGGTATCCACTGCCTGCGAGACCTGCTCAGGTTAGGGGACTGGATGGTCAAACTGGACCTACAAGATGCCTACCTCACAATCCCTATTGCAGAAGAGTGTCGCCACCTGCTCCAATTCCAATAGGAAAAGGCGACATGGAGATTCCAATACCTTCCCTTTGGACTCTCATCGGCCCCTTGGTGCTTCACCAAGCTACTGAAGCCAGTGGTCGCCTTGTTACGCAGCAGGCGCATACGGATGATCATTTATCTGGACGATATGCTAATCATGGCACACGAGGTTCATCAACTTCGACAACACCTCTCATGGGCACTGAAATTGCTACAAAATTTGGGATTTATCATCAACTGGGAAAAATCGGTACTTACCCCGTCCCAAAACATGGAATTCCTAGGTTTCCACATAGACGCTATTACCGGGAGACTCAGTCTACCGACAGAGAAAGTCAAACGCATCAAAAAGGAGATCCGCAGAACGCTCACAAGACCAGTGTTAACACTGAGACAACTAGCCAGAATGATCGGACTCCTCTCAGCCTCCATCCAGGCAATCTTCCCGGGGCCGCTACACTACAGGGCCCTGCAATGACTAAAAGCCACACAGCTACGCTCAGGGCACTCATACTCCGACTCTGTGCCACTCGACTACGCGGCAGGGACTCACCTGGTGGCTGCAACATATGGAGGCATGAAACGGCAGGGCAATCTTCGGGACTGCCCCGGATTTCATCATAGAGTCTGATGCGAGTACACATGGTTGGGGAGCGCGTTGCGGGCCTACCTCTACCGGAGGAATTTGGTCACCCTCAGAGAAAAACTTACAGTCCAAGCGGAATACATCCCGGGCATGTCCAACGTAGTAGCGGATTGGCATACCAGACATCTGCACGACGCCAGCGACTGGCGGCTAGACCGCAGTGGGGCCCGATGTGAATCGACCTATTCGCATCTCGGTTGAACTCCCAACTACCAACATTCTTCAGCTGGAGACCAGACCCAGACGCACTAGCAGCGGATGCTTTTCTCCAACAATGGCCGAACAGCCGATTGTATGCCTTTCCTCCGTTCTCCCTCATAGCTCGAACACTGGTGCATCTCAGACGTACACAAGCATCACTGGTCCTCATAACACCGTTTTGCACAGCTCAACTGTGGTTCCCAACACTCATGGAGATGTCCACAGACCTCCCGAGATTGCTACCAGATGTCTTATTTCTTTTATCGGACCCAGAGGGCAACCCACATCCCTTCTGGTCCAGGGGCAATTCAAACTCTTAGCGTGGCTCCTTTCAGGGGACCCTGGATCGTACCAGATGTTCCACAAGAAACTATCGAGTTACTGGCAGGAGCTTGGGCGCCTGGAACTAGACGCTCCTACCTCTATGCCTGGAACGGATGGAGTAGTTGGTGCATGGAACAACAGGTGGATCCCGTACGTGCTCCTGTAAATTACCTGTTACGCTTCCTTACCGACCTGTATAATCAGCTAGCTTAGCCTACCGAACCATTAATGTCTACAGATCGGCGATTTCAGCAGGACATCGAGGAATAGAGGGTGTAACGGAACCGCTGGCACCCCGACCGGGTACCTTCCGCTGATGGATGCTCCTAGTGCTTTCTGAGGACTCCAAGCACTCTGCCCAACACCATAACCACTGCAGACCCCGCAAACCGCCGCAGCTTGGTTGGGGTCTCGCCGTCTCCACCCACTCTGGACCCAAGACCAGGGTCCAGCTTCCAGTAGGTCGACCTCTCCGAATTCCAGAGAGCAGGAACAGGAACAAGCTCTTAGAAGAGCTTAGTGATTATACCCTTAGTGATTATACCCTAGTGATTATAGCAATCCCCAGAGTGTAGTTCTCCAATCCCCCAAACATGAGCCGAAACTTCATGAAGGTACAAAATGATCTGCCTTTTAATGACCACACACTGGCTGACAACCAATCATTTACAGGAAAACCGTAAAACACACCCAGCACTAACATACAAAATCCTCTCCTCTGCTTAGGAGATAATTGAGTCAATTACTGTATCTACTCAATTATCTCCAAGCTGAAATGTTACACTTTTTATACATTTTTATAACTTTGTGAGTTTACACCGTACATACATAAAACTTATATTATTTTAACCAGTATAACTTGGGGACTAACATACCCAAAATTCACGTGAATAGGTTCAGAGGTTTAAAAGTTAGGTCAAAGTCCTTTGTTTTCACGTGCAAGCATGACTTTTCCTGCCCAAACCAGTTCCCACTGGTCTGGCAGTGTCCCTGTGACAACTCCCTGCTGGAGAACAATGGAGCTGGGGGAGGGGAAGAGGCACACCTTCCCATGAATTCAAAGGGGCAAAAAAAGTGTCTCAAAAGTTTCAGTATGTCCATACACTGTTTTTAAAGGGCCAGCACTGTACAATAAAAGTCCATAAGCCCAAATAATGTTTGTAAAGGGCCATACAACCCAGGGCCATAGTCATGAGGTAGGAGGCTGGCACTCAGGCTCCTCTAACAGCCACCTTGTCACCTAAAAATCCAGTGACAAAAGGCATTTCGTCACAGAGGGAACCCCGATGGGTCAACAACTATTGGTATGTCGTCTTCTACAGGGAATTCGGTTTGCTTGTCCACCACAACCCTGATACACATCACTGTGGGATGCCAGTTCAGTCCTGCAACTGTTGGAATCTTGGCCACAAAATGAAACACTCACGCTTAAACAACTGTCAGTGAAACTAGCTATGCTTCTTTGCCTGATCTCTTGCAAGAGAGTGTCCGATGTTAGAGCGCTGGATTTTGATGCACGCTCCTTTACCCCCACAGGAGTTTCATTCAACATCTCCAGGCGTATAAAGTCATCAATTACCTCAGTTTCATACCCTTCGTTCCCACATAACAATAAACTCTGCCCCGTGAACTGCTTACGGGAATACGAGAAACGAACCTTGGGATTCAGGAACCCGATGCATCCAGAATTGTTTTTGGCTATCAGACAACCTCACCAATCTGTATCCACGGTGACTCTTGCCCGCTGGGTGAAATGGATAATGGCTTTGGCACACATAGATACCACTGTGTATGGCGCACACTCTACTAGAGGAGCCATGGCATCAAAGGTTTTCAGTTTTGGCTGTAGGTTAGAGGACCTCCTGAGAACAGCAGATTGGTCTTGTGAATCGACGTGTCAAGTATAGTTATCTCACAGCTTTGAACTAGCCTAATAGGAGCCTCCGTGTCCTTTAATAAAATTACCAGATTTTACTAATTACATGACGTAAAGTCATGATTTTATAAAGGACACGGAGGCGAGTATTAGCCCACCCGGATCAGATACGACCAAAATTGTATCCCAGTCCAGGTACGTAATAGGTTCTTTAGTAGAATGAGTTATCATTTCTATAGTTGATTTGGTAAATATATCAAACAAGTAACGATTACATGTTTACATATAACTGATTACATAAACAGCTCAATTTCCATAAAATAATAAGACGAAAATAGTTGGCAAGGACATGTTTTACCATGATTTTCTTTGTCCTTTTCAGCCTGAAATCTACAAATACCCATTGATGACGGCGATTGATCTCGCAGTTTAAGAGGATCGGTACCGGAAGATCCCTTGTTTGCTTATGGAAGGATTCAATGTCAAGAATTCAGTTGTCAACCTTTTTTGTGTTTGGTTTATAACGAGTTTGTGGTTAATTGCTAC